TCTTTACGGAACACATACAAGTTTGGATCGAAGAATTCACTATCGTAGAAGTCAGACTTCAGCCAGGTCTCGAAAATGACAAGCACATCATAAGCCTCTTGCGCGCTAAATTGAAAAATTGTGTTTGATTTAGTCCTTAATCCGGAAATATTTTGGTAATATATCTTATGACCAGCATTATTTTTGGGAGTTACATTTCTGTTGTTAGTTCATAACGGTTGGTTTTGAAATACATGCTTTTGAAAAAAATTAAAAAAAAATTTAGATCTGGAGTTTATTAAGTACTAGGAACCAGGAAAACCTTGATATCATTATGAGATTGCTTTAATTGAAAACATTTTACATTTACTAAGAATTCGTCAAAATTCCTTATGTCACGTATAGAGGCAGGTAAGGAATTCAATAGCTTACAAGAAACTATAGTTAGGAAATTATTGGTGTGAGTAGCACGGCATGTAGGAACAACAAGTCTATGAGAGTTTATCCTCAAAGTAAAATTATCTGAAAATAGGCAATGTAACGAATGAAAAACAGAATTCTCAGGTTCCTAAATACCTCCATGGAGTGGCGAAGTGGGTTAACATTATGCATTTTCCTAATGACACATTTTTGAATAGTTAGTAGTTGCTGAACTCTATTGAGAGATGCAATAAGATGGAGCTTAGAGTGAACCAGTGAGATTACAGCGGAATAATCACATTCGTTTGTATTAGGAACAAATACTCCAACACCACCTGCATTTATTTTAACCCTAGAAGCCTAATCTACTTGGGAGTCACGTAAAGCCTTAACATATGTCTTATAGACGTAGGGGACTTAAAATACAACATTTGAGCTAAAACATAATTAGCTCTGCCTTATTTTTTTAAGAATATTGAAGTTGTGACGTAAAATAATAGAAAAAACATAGTTTTATTATAAAAACTACTACCACATTTATTTAAAACAATCAAATAAAAAGGAATGTTTGTGTTCACAATAAATCGCGGTTCCGTATACGCCTCGCAGGCGTAGATTAGGTTTTTGGGTTAAAATCTTCCATTTCGTGCGAATATATCCAGATTTCAGATACACTCTAGAAGACCAACTCACTTAGACCCTGCAGGTCCCAAATAGCCAATGACTGGTTCCAGAGGCCATGACCTTCGAGCGTGGCCAAATCGCGGATCCTTCCATGGCGCCATACTTTCCATTCTGAGCGCCGTGGCGACGGTCACGTGTAAATTTATTATCACCTCTAGCGCCTTTTTTGGGGTATTACTAAAGTGCCAGAGATGCATAAAAACGCAGTTCTTTGGGCTTTACTCAATAGTTTTACGTAACTAGCCTTTTGAGTTGATGTCCACCATACAAGTATTCTATATACTTAGTAGTATAATCTTAACTACCGAAATGTAAAGCCGGTGAGTAATCCGAGGTGTTAGCTCCCTTTTGATTCCGACAGCTTGCTTGTATGTGTTTAATGCAACGTTGGCATCCTTAACTCTGTCCTCTATATTAGCTGTCGACGTAAGCTTGCTATCTAATATGAGCCCTAGAAGATATTTAACATTCTCCTTCGAAGGAATTTCCCCACCCTTGGAAATTCGCGGGGAGAGTGCAGGGAGCCTTTGTTTCCTTGTGAAGAGAATTACATCAGTTTTATCGGGGCTTATTCCGAGTCCTCTACTCTCTGTCCACATTGTAAGCGTCGCCATGTTAGAGCGCATGCCCATCAGGGTATTTGGGTACTTGCCTTTAACGGCAATTGCCAGATCATGAGAATAAGAAGGGACGTGGCAACCTCCTCCTCCTAGAGTCAGCAGAAATGAGTTCACTGCCAAGTTCTAGGGCAGAGGGGAAAGAACCTCTTCCTGAGTAGTGCCTGTACAGACATGTCTGCTTAGTGTGGTGTTGCCTAACCTAGCGGTTATTTTCCGTTTATAGTCTCAACCAGAGCTACATCGTTAGGGTCAACATCGAAATTTTTTGGCGCTTGCATTGATGCTGTTGGAGGCGCCTTGTATGTCTACAAAAGCAACCAAAGCACACTCATTGTCTGATGAGTTCTTTTCCACAAACTCGACAAGCGAGTGCAAAGCGGTTTCAGTAGATTTGCTTTCGTATAGGCATGCCGCACCAAGGAGTTCGTTGTCGGACGTTTCGTCGTGAAGGCAGAATTTCTCGATGGTGGCGCCAAAGATTCCTTCCTTGCCCACCTTGGTATTGAAATCGTCAAGCACGATTTTGATATCGTGACGGGGGCAACGCTCGTATGTACGTCCCAAACGCTAATAGAAGATATCCTTGGACGATTTGTCTTTCTCTTCCGTCAGGACATGAAGGCAGATGAGCGAGATGTTGAAGAATTTCGCTATGATTTGGGTTATGACTAGACGTTCGTCCAACGGGGTGAACGCCAGTACTCGGCGACGAAATCTCTCCCACCACGAATCCAACACCGAATTTGCGCTCCGCTACGCTTTGAGCTATCTTTTGATGTTATAGGCAAACTTCTTCTCTTCTCTTTCTAACACTAAGTTTATTTCCTAGAATGAAGTCTAATAATGACTCACCTCTATCATTGGTGTCCGTACTTTCCCCCAGTGTTTTGTGGACATCGGCGTCACAAGAGACAACCAGTTGTTTGTTCTTAGAGATGGCCTCCTTCGCCAGCGCCCGCACCTCATCTGGCGGGGCGTGCTTCTCCTTGGCTATGTAGGCAGAGGCAAGCCAGAAGCTGGTTTATCCAGCTCAATGCTTGCCGGTACCAAGTCGCCATTGCTAAACTGTAGAAGCAAGAACAGGTCTATGTTGTTCCTTGCTATTATGCAGGCTCAAGCCTTATCTGCATTTTTTGTCGCAATAAGTTGAAAGCCCTTCATCTCAAGCCCGCAGATGTTATTTTCGTGCACCCACGGCTCCTGGCTCAGCTTCATATGAATCCGTCCGCTTAATCTTTACCATCGTGATATCTGCGTCCTCCTTCACGACCTCCTCCCCCTCGGTGTTATCGGCGATGCAGCCGAGCATTGGCTCCTGGGCAACCCTTCTTCACTACCGCAGCGCAGGCCGGCCTAGTCACACTCTTCAGTAAGATCCACAGCTGGCTCGTCGAAACGTCATCGGCATATGTGAAAACACAATTTCCATCCAAGAATGATAGAATACTGCTGATTGCGCCACCTCTGTCTCCCTACATCGTGATTTCCATCCGCCTCCATGCACCGCAACAGTGACTTTACTTTCACTACCCGTAGGAGTGAAGAGAGAACACCCTCCTGTGGAGTACCCCTCTTGACAGACCTGCGAGTCGTTAGCCCAACAAGTTCCATATAGCCCAACAAACTTGTCTGTCACATATAATTTCACTGATAAGCTCTGGTGTAACTTCTGCTGGTTATGTATTATTAAAAGTATCCTCAGTATATTCTGGGAAGAAGTTATCTAAGAGTAATCTTATGGTTTCGGAACTTGAGTCAGTCCAGGACGCATAATCCTTTTGAATATAGCTGCTTTCTGTAGGTGATTTCGCTAGTACTTTTTGGTGCCTTCTATCCCGCTACAGAAATCCCTTGATAAGGGATGACGAAAATTCGTTCCAAAATAAATAATTTATCACCCAGTCAACCAACATTGTAATATTTATTTCCATCCCATTTAGCAAAAAAATAAGAGCCACATTTCTAAAATGAAATTTCAATGCTAATATAAGTTATATTTATACCCTTTAGAAACTAGAAAATTTTAGTTAATGAAAAACGTGAAACGTACGTGTAGTACACGTGAAAGAATTCACAAAAATTTATTGAAATATTACTGTTTCTGAAAAGTTCCATTACCTTTTGCATAACATAGCCTTTATACTTTAAAAGTTTTGCGCTTGCCTCATAAGGTACATATTACATATGTCGTGGATACATCAGTAGATCAGAGTGTAATACAGTGAATCAGATCATAATCTCATTTTTGTTTGTTCACATTTTTATTCTTAAACATTAAGGACTCAAAGAAATTTAACGTTTTGTTTTGTGAAAAAATATTCAATACATGAAACTATTAATAAGTTTGCGAATCAAAATCTGAAAAATATGGAGTTTCCCTGTGAATATAGTAGGGGTCTTCGTTTAAACAGTAAAAGCCTCGTAAACCTCGTAAAGCTCGTAAATTTACGAGCCTCGTAAAATAACTGTTAAAATTTGTTTGGAGCTCAATTAACGAGCCTCTCGTAAAATTACGAGGCAAATTTGATGCGCAAACGGCCTCGTAAACTTCAGTGCGGCCGAGGGGCCGAAATTTTTATACTAAATGTATGATTAAATAATGAAAATAAATGAAAAAAATAATACGAAAATAAAATGAATGAATTTTATCCACTAGTTAGTATTGACTTAAGTTTTCTGATAATTTGCGGTATTTTTAATTGTATTTTAGCCAAGAGTGATAGACAAGACGGCGGGATGTTATGGAAAATACTATGAAACAAAAGTTTCTTCACAAAATCCTGGTTGATCTGTCAAACAGTCAATTTACGCACCTATTTACACCTTTTCACATAGGGGGCGTTCCCATAAAAGCCTCGAAAACTTACGAGTTTTACACAGTTTAAGACTTTACGAGTTTAAGGGAAACCCCTAAGTGTTAAAATTACGCAATTTTGGCGTCTGAAAACTCGCAATAACACGGCATTATAATGCTGGTTTTGAAGGATAAAAATAGATTCTGTTGGCTAATTTTTCCGATAGGTTTGTAAGATGATTTCAACACATCCTTACGTATGCATTTTGGAACGAGTCTCCGTGATCCCTTGCAAAGTGGAAAAACGAACGAAAAGTAACACTCACGAAGGCACAACGCCGAAACCTGTTTGTCTCGAAACCAAACTTGACAATGGAAGACGGATATTCGTTTCAAAATACATCATGACTAGTTTTCTTTTTATCAACTAAGTATCAGTTATAATTTGGCAGTGTAATGCGATAAATAATCATTTATTTTATTTTACGTCTTTCTCAATTTAGCCGAACAACAATATCTATCAAAGCTTTGGCATCTTTTGTCCCTCAACACAAATCGAATGTGTGGATCTGATGCGTACCGAGGATGTCCTTATCGATTGGCAAAAGCCATTGTACCTGAATTTCACGCATATTGCTATCATGAATCGGCTGGATGACTTTTACTCCACTTTCGGTGTAATGGAGCGGCTTGAAGGCGACATTTACGTGTGTAATGAGCTGAAGACAGAGCTGGAGTTGGAGGAACTGTCTGATGATGCAGTAATGCGTCCTCTTACTGCTGACGATGTGAAAGGTATACACGACTTGTATCCGGCCAGCGAGATCGAGCGCATAGAAGTGTTCGAGATATTAGTGCAGGTGTTGCCTGGATTAGGAATCTTTCGCAAAGATACTAATGAATTGGCTGCATGGATGGTGCACTCTTACTATGGAGCAATGTTCTCGATGCAAACACGTCCAGATTATCGTCGCAAGGGGTAACCAAAGTTATTTGGTTGTGTGCTCATTTAATTATTATAAGTTTTTTCCGTTTTAGTTATGGAATACGCCTTGCTAGAGCTCTCACTAAACTTGTAATTGAGCGTGGCTATTCGCCCTTCGTAGTCATACGTCCACAAAATGATGCATCTAGGAATCTCTACACCAAGTTAGGCTTTACAAAGGCTTACGAAACATGCCGAGTCAAAATGACTCCGGGTCTAGAAGATGCCAGTCATGATGAAGATCCACATTCAAATCATGAAGCCACGACTAATGGAGTTGCCGAGGGTAAAGATCCGTCTACACAAACTGATGACGACACAGAGGCTAACAAAGAGAATCAGCCAGTTGATGAGGGCATTGAGGATATGTTAGCTGAAAAATGTGATATTGGTAGGGAGGAAATGAGTACCGCCCACGTTAAAGCCGCAATGGACGAGGGCATTGAAGAAGATAAATAGATGTATTAAAAAATTAATATACCCTTGTGCGCAAGTGCGCTCGGGTATAAAAATAAAAAAGTAATCAGGAACAGGGAATAAGTTATAGGGAACAAAAAAATGATGCGAGAAAGGGTGACTAGTCGGGTAGAAAATTAAGAAAAGAAACTAACGAAAAAAGCTATTATAAAAGCTGAAATGCTAAAAAACTGCATTATACATAAACTAATGAGAATTATAAAAATAAGATATGAGTGCACTTGCAACACTGGTGTGGCAGTCTCTATTGTAAATGCATAATTTGGGGGAGATGTTAAAATTTTGAGTAATAAAAAGTTAAGAAAAAAAACTGCAGGAAATGTGAGCATGTACATAAGTACATACATACATGCAGTGAGTGTCAGTCAAAATCGTGCAGTAATTCTTCCATATTTTGAAAGTTTTGTATAGTTCATACTACAATAAAGTCATTAAAAAAAAATAAACCTAATATAAGGTTCGTTCGCGTAGCTGTTAATTGTTCATGTTTAACCAAAACTTACAAGTTTTTGCGTTCGCGTACGCAAAAAACTTGCAAAGTAGGGGAAATTGAGAGAGCAAAGTGACATTTCATTTTGAGGGGAAGCTGCTGGTTTCTGCTGGAAAAATTTTTGCCAACAGCAATTTGCCAACAGGAAAACAGCTGATCAAAAACAGCTGGTTGGCATTTACGCAAATCACAAAATTGAATTTGATGGTTTGGAAGTTAAAAATTACAAAATGCGACTAATTAAACTTGTAAGAAGTAAGTAGTTATTTGTTTAATCAATAAACTGTGCCAGGATACCACTTTGTAATGAGTTTTCGTACGTTTTAAATTTTACACTTTTGAATGTAAACAAAAATTATATCAGCTGTTCGTATAACTTGCAAGTTTCTGCAAATTTTCTGTTCGCGTACTATTTTGGATATTTCTCTCTTGTGAGCGAACAGATGACATTTCGCCGGAATTTGGCAGTTGGTTGGTTTCTGTTGGAGATTTTAAACGAACGCACCTATTTTCATCACTTTTTATTCAGAACTTTTAAAATTGTTGGGTACGCAGTTTTATATCCCATTCAATTTTAGTCTAATAAAGTGCAAGTTTGAAGTCGCAACAAAATACCTTTTTGTCGAGAGTCTAACGCATTTTCTTCCATATAAAAATAGATTTTGTTTATTCGTTATATAAAAGAAAATGTGCACCGCCAAAAAAATTCCACAAATCAACGGTATTTTGGGCTATAAAACTGCATACCAAAAAAAGTCTATAAATTCTGAACAAAAAATGTGAAATATTGATGAAAATTTGAGGATTTTTTTTAAATTGTTACAAAGTTCGAAACTTTGAGTTTTATGGATTTTGTTGTAGTACTTATGAACTATATTTTTATTAGAAAACAATAAAATTTAAATAAAACAACCTATTTTCAAAATATGGAAAAATTACTGTACGATTTTAACTGACACTCACTGTATGTATTTGTTAATACACATGTGATTGTCTACATGCAAATCGTACTTCGGAGTCAGTGCACTCGCACATAAAACATGCTTACAAAATAAAATATTACAAACACATACATATGTATAAACATACATAAAAATATACATATATGCATGATGTATACAAAAAATGTGTGTATGAATCGAAAATAACTTATTTTAAAAAGTTTTTGCTAAAATGCTTTCACAAAAACAGAAAAATAATTGTAATAATTCAAAAGTAAAATGTATGCATGTGCATATGAATAAGGAAGGAGTAAAAAACGAATTATTTCCAGTAAGGACTTCCAAGCTTTTAGGAGAACGTACATACTCTACATAAAAATTTATGTGCATACATACATACATATGTAAACACGAAACTTATTTATCTTCCTAATTATTATTGCGTCGGCGAAAATAAAAAGCACGTGTATTTTTATGTACATACAGAAAATACAAAAAACCAATCAAGAAATTGGCATAACCTTAGCTGAAGCTGATTTTCCACATTGAGCACATGACAATTCCCAAGCACAAGAGTATTATACTGTTTAAATAATAATTTTACACACGAAGATTACATATTTTATATGGAATTTATTATTGTTTTGCAGGAAAATTTAAAAAATTAAAGAAGCAAACCTACAGCATAATTTAAAACTATAGAATACAAATAAACTAGAACAAGTATTTTCAAAGGTATTCCATTTAATTTAATGCATATATACGGATGCATACATACTAACTTTAAAGACGTATTTTTAATTAATTCTTTAATAACAAAACTACAAAATATTGCATACATTTTGAAACAATCCGGAATTTTTCACTTAATTACGCTCACTTAGCCATATTGATAGTCAGTGTCGGCTTTTGTCTAAAAAAAAAACGATATTTCTTCCTGCAAAGGGTTTGCGGGTTTGCAAAGGTAATACATGCATATGTACATATATATATATAAGTCATGAGAATATTTGGAACGGCAGGAAAAATTTCCCTACCAGATCAGTCTGGGTAAATACCCAAAATTTTGCAAATAAGTAGTTTTACTACTATTTCGTAAACTTTCTATGGATTTCGTGTGAGTTTTTGTACCCTGCAAAAATCGTTGGACCATGTGGTCCATTTCGGCCGGATTGGAGTACATTACAAAATGCTCCTCTGTAAGGGTCTGATTATGCATACTTCGCATAACTTCGCACAACCATTTGTACCAGTGCACTAAAAATGTTACTTAAGAAAGTGTGAAGCAAAATCTAAACTCAACAGATCGCTAAGTTTTTAAAAGGTCTTCTAATTTCTGGGTAATGAAATACATACATACAAAGTACATACGAAATTACAGTTTGAAGTTTATGCGAAGTTGTGCGAAGTTATGCGAAGTATGCATAATCAGACCATAAGTCTAGATTCAGACGGAGACACTTTTGTCGCGGCAACTCGTTACTTGTGGGAGAGGGGGAGACGAGGAAGGGCGCCGAGTTGCTCGTGCTCGGGCAACACGCTTTGTGCTCTCGTTCATCTGAATCTTTCAGGATTACCTAGTATTTCTATAAAAGGAAAAGCTTACGGGCCACTTCTTAACCAGGAATGAGAACCTGTGTTGACCTATCTGACATGTAGGTCCGAATCGGAAATGTTACCACATTGAAAAATAAATTACCAAACTTGAGAAATAAAGAAAAAATTACCAATTTTGATTAAAAATTACCAAAGCGGCAACGCTAGTCTCTGAACAGCTTAATGTTACCCGATCAACGCTCGTGTTTTAACCATCGTAATCACTCCACGATGTTTATTCGGCTATGTTGCCGAGAGATATAATAATCTGATATAATGCAGAGCTGGAGTATATGGTCCTGCCCTAGGATATCGCAATGTCAATTAGACCACATTTTTTATAGTCCGTTCGCTTAATTTTGGAGTACTCCTTGGCCCTTAGGGAGTACTCTTTATAGCGTGCATGGAGTAGCGCGATTTTTGCAGGATACTATAGTAACGTTTGTGTATAGGAAATTTTTGTAAAAATTTGTGATTGTGTTTCAGATTTGAAAAAGAAAATTTAATTTTAGTGGAGTATAGGGTAAACTGTTCTGGTAGGGTTATTATTTAAGTATGTACACTACAAACGTAATAAGAGTTGAGAGCGCTTCTTTGAAATTCTCTTCTGTTCACATAACGGCAAACGTTTTATTTATGTCATCAAGACCAAGCCGAATTTATATATATAAGGTGGTGTTACTGGAACAGATGATTAGATATTTTTTGTTTCAACACTAGTTCAGTAGAACGAAATGGCGTAACTCTAGGATGTAAAAAAAACGAAATGACAAAAGTTAATTTCTATTTTGTCTCGTTTTGACACCCTAAAGTACCAAAAAGCAATAATAAAATACATATTTATACATATGCATGTGTATGCGCTTGCTATCACCTTATATACATACATACTATGTATGTAGGTGCGCCTTGATCAAGAGAGTGAGAGCTCAATCAAAGCTGATATTGCAAAACCGAAGAACTTAAAAAGCCCTCTCCACTACAAGTTAATATTGTAAATGCTTTCTTAAGGTGGGATCTCCTTGTCAATTTAGGATAATCAGAAAGTCGAGAAAGAGGCTTTTTTCTGGTCGCATATTCGAAAATAAAATTGAAATATTTTGAGACGATCGTGTTGTCGAAGTGTAGTGTGGAAGGGAAAATTACCGAAATCGTTTTAAATTTTAACCCAATAACTACTGCTGCGCATAACCAAATACATGCATGACATTAAAACATGTGTGCTTTTCGAATTTTATCTAACTTTTTGAAAAATATAGCCTCTAATTTGTTATCGCAAACGTAAAACTAAAACTTAAGTACTTTCTTTTAATAAAAAAAATATACATACATATGCATATACATATATAAAACAATGAGAATGCTTTATTTCAAACTTTTGCTATTGGTGTATGAGTTGGTTTAGAAAAGGTAGGAGTCGAAGGATACGAAAATTTGTAATAATAAATATTTATGTGTGAGCAAGTCGAAAACATGTATAGATATATAAACATATTTGCAAAAAAAGTATACATACTATATGTACATATGAGGGTCCATTCGTGGGCAGCAAAAAATTTAAAATATCATTAATGGTTTTAACAATTATTAGGTGTGTACTCGTATTGAGAGGACAAAATTATCCAACAGAAAAAAATCTGAGAATTTAGCTGCATGCGCTCTCAGAGAGAAAAAATATCCACAGAAATACCAGAACGTAAAATTTGCAAAAACTTGCCGCCCTCGAAACAGCTGATCACTTCCACAGTTGCCACTGGTGGGTCATTTGGCAACTTATTTTCTGCTTGGTACATTTTTCCCGATTTTGCATTTTATACAATTGCATACTTTTGGAATCGAAAAACCTTTTTAAAAAACAAATTAATTATATCGGAATGAATGAAATATTTTTGTCAAAAAAAGAGAATATCGTGCGAACACCCAAAAAAAATTAGTAGATATCTACAAATGTACATTTATGTAGATGCTACAAATGTACATTTAAAATTATAAAATTCTAATTTCAACAATTAACCTACCAAAACTGACAAATTCGGCAAACAAAATTACAGCTTGCTGCATTTTTATCTATTTTGGTATATTTAAAGGACAATTATGGTACAAACGAAAAATGACATACGGCAGCCATAGTCAGCACACACTAAAGTAAACAAACTGGAGATTAATAGTAAATTAACTAAAAACAAACTCAACAAACCTTGTGCTTAGTGACCTTCCTCTCTTTTTCGTTGTATACTAGCATTGATAATAAAATAATAAATAAATAAATAATTCAAAAAGGTCATATTTTCTTTTGTTTATTTACAAACATGTTTGTGATCAGCTGATTTTCCTATTTGCAGGTTTTCGCTGTGAAAAATTTTCCAGCAGAAATTTGTAGCTCTCTATCACATTTTGTTCTCTCAATTTCCCCTACTTTGCAAGTTTTTTGGGTACGAGAACACAAAACTAGTAAAAGTTTTCTAAAACTGTTGATAGTTTTGCGTACGAGTACACTCCTACCGATATACTTACGTATATAGATACATATTTCTAGGTCACCACGTAACTAAATGCCTCGTAAATCATGTAAGCTGTCTAAATTATGGCCTCCAAAAGAGACCGTCTTGGCGTTTTAAAGCATTATGCGTTTCCGGAGTGCGAATATAAGTGTGTTTGGCAATAAGATTTCCGATCGATTCATTGGTTAATATCTAATTTTATACGCAGCGGTTAATTGATTTGCAGAGATCAGTTGATATTTTGTAATAAGTTGTTTCCAAAAAAAACTAAATTAAGACCTTACAAAGTTTTAACCTGTGCCCCACTTGCGATATTCCCGCCGATATTTCATTTTTTTCTACCGTGAGTAAGAAGCGCTGGTTATACTTATGTACATTGTACTGCAGCGCATAACATGAGTACTGTCACATATCGAATCTGTTTAATGAGCTCTGCATACAAGCGATTATCCGACGCAGCGCATGACAGGGCATGACAGTGAAGTCTAGTGAATTTTGATTTTTCGCTATGTGAGCTATGTGTGCACGATTGAGAGAATATTCTATCATTCTTGCTATGTGTGTGTGTCAGAGCTGCCACTCTCATTGCTCTCATTAGTCTGTTCCAGTACCCATCAGATTTGCAGGAATTACTGAGAAGTCGTTCTTGCACATACATTGGGGTATATTTATAATCCAAACAAAGTCGATTATGAAATTGGTTGGCGCCATTCCATTGAAAATTATGACAAAAAGCAGTTATGTCTACCTAACTATATCCTGGAGTAATGGAACAGACAAACTGATTACACTGAACAGCTGATTCTGGCAAATTATGCGCTCTATGCGGAATATAACTACACCTCTGCTTCACATGCGCTTCTTGTCCATGCCCTGCATTTGCAATGTAAGTATAACCGGCGCTTTACAGTTAAATACATGTGATTCAACCGAGTGCTCAACCATAGATTTCAATGAAACTTTCTATGAGTTTCTTAAGGCCGAGTTGACAAAACTACTCGAATTTCTTGTATACGAGTAATCATGGATCCCTTTCTTTCTTAAAGCTTAAACAGACGGCAGCGTTGATCCGGACTACCTCGGACTTAATCCGGATCAACTGCAGTTAATTCCCCAGTTGATCCGGATCAAAGCTGCCGTCGGTTTATGCTTTTACATTTGTACATAAGCGACACGTGTGTGAATTGGTGGTTTCCAGATAAATTCTTTCAATAGGGGAGCTCACTTTGAGTAGCATTTTCTAACAACAAATTTACACCTAACAAATATATTGGAGTTTCGGGTATACTCTATACTCTGACTCTTCTAATGAAGGGCCACTCCATATCCATTAACCTCGACGTTACACGATCAAGAGCTTGCTTTCAAGTTTAAATACACTCAGACTTTTGTGTAGGAGTATTTCTGCATCAAAAATAAAAGTTGTGTTTGTTTACAAATTATCCAGTAACTTGCCAGCTACTCTCCAGTAACTTTATTTCTAAGAATTCGCTCTCATAGAAAAAATTTGCAAAAAAGTACGCGAACGCTATTCCAGTAATAATTTGCAAGTTTCATGAACAGCTGATAAATTTGTTGTTTATTCGCATCAAATTCCTAAAAAAGCAAAATATTTTATATTTAAATACGTTTATTTTGTGAAATTCAACAATAAAAACCCACAAACAGTTTCCTTATTAGTTTAAATTTCATCCAGCAACATGCAATCAGCTGTTTTTCGTATTTAATCGCAAAAGGTTTTATTTTTTTTATTTTAGGATTGTAAAAGACACAATTTAGACGGCGTGCTTCTGTCTCGAATGTTCGCAGAGTAATAAGTTTTATGTTAACATTCACAATAGAATTATGTGCTGGAGACGAAAAGGAATTGAAAGAAGTAGAGGAGTAAGAAAAGGATAAGAAGTGCGATAGGCAGGGTTGCCACCGAGCAAGACAGTTGCATACGGGAAAACAGCGATAGGAAAGAAAATGCTAACAACTCGGCCAATCTGACAGTTGATCGACCTCGATCAATAACTAGATTTACAATGTGGCTTAACCTGAATTATACACACTTAAGTTGTTTCGGATATCACAAATAAGAATTAACAGTCTTAAGTTACAAGGCCTAAGTCTAGGTTATAGTATTGCTTTACTCCTCGACAGGTCCAGCCTCTACGTTTTGCTTAAGCCACTTCCTCATTCTATTTGCCTCTACCACACCATCGTATGGTAGCTGAGTTAGTTGACAATTCTCTATGTCCCGGATAACGTATCGATCATTCCCGAGAATTTTGTATACCACATATGGTCCCTTATACTTGGGAATTAGTTTTTTGTTAGTCCCAGCGGTGGTGTCAACGTTCCTTATGACTACGAAGTCACCCACATCGTACTTCTTAGCTTCTACGCAATGTTTTAGAAAATATTCCTGGCTATACTCTTGAGCGCTTTGAATTGCTTCAGCGGCATCCCGTCGGATGCTCTGTAAATCCCGTACTTCTTGTCTGCCAAACTTATTATCGAAATATTCCGTAAACTCATCCACTATCTCTCCCTTTTGTTCCACACCAAACAAGAGCATACTGGGGGAATTCTTTGTGGAGCTGTGAACTGAATTATTTATTGCATATTCTACTTGCAAGAGCCTATTCGACCAATCGGCATGATCTATGGGGTCACACAGTTTGCCTAGCATCGTTTTTATTACCCTATTAACCCTTTCAACCTGCCCGTTGGCCTGTGGGGAGGCAACCGCAACCTTCACATGCTCTATATTTCTTCGAAATAGAAACTCTTTAAACTCTAATACTACTACTATAATAACTGAAGTATCTCTCCATTGCGGCAGTTACTTCCCGAGTGCTCGTTGAGTTCGTCGGGTATAGTTTCACAAATATATATATGCTTTCTCTTAGATTTTAATGATGGTAAGGGACCGAAATGATCTACATGCAAGGTGTCTAACGGTACTGGCCTCTTAGGGATACTATATAAGTGCCTCTCACTCGCTCGAACTGGTTGCGCATACATTATGCATTTAAGGCAATTACCAATAAAAGACTCTACTTTCCGACGCATTTGAGGGAACCAATAATGGCGACTAATTTTTGAACAGCTTTTATCAACAGCTTGGTGTCCGATCTTCTCATGCATCAACCTTATGATATTATCCTCCATCTCACTTGGGATATACAGAACTTTACATCCTTTGCGATTAATCTTAAAAACAAGACCATTTTCTAATTCAAATCCTTCGACAACTCCCTCTTGTAATTGATGTCGTATGTTTTTAATTTTCTCGTCCCTTTCCTGAGCAACTTGGACTTGGAATTCAACCTCATCAACATCTAAGGCCGCGCCGACTTGGCAGCGACTAAGTGCATCTACATGCCCCATGAGAACTCCACTACGGTGTACTATCTTGTAATTATATGCTTCTAACTCAAGAGCCCACCCAGCTATTCGCGCATTAACTTGTTTCCTTTCTAGAGTCATGGCGAGTGAGTTACAGTCAGTAACTATTTTAAATGGGATCCCCTCCAAATATACTTTAAATCTACGTAACGCATAAATTACAGCTAATGTCTCCAACTCAAAGCTGTGGTATCTGGCTTCCGCAGCGGAGGTACTCTTAGAAAAATAAGCTATTGGGTGAAACTTCTCGTCGTGTTGCCGTTGCAACAAAACTGCACCAAAGCCAGAGGTGCTTGCGTCACAATGGAGTTCTGTTTCCTTTGTAGGATTATAGATCGCAAGAACTGGAGATTGCGTTAGCTTGTCTTTAAGTTGCTCAAATGCGGTGATACAGCTTTCGTTGAAATCGAAATCAACACCCTTTTTTAGCAAATTTAACAATGGCCTAGCAATTTTGGAGAAAGACGGCACGAATCGGCGGAAATATGAAAATAAACCTATGCAAGAGTGTAATTCCTTTTGGTTAGATGGCACTGGATATTTCCGTATATCTTTGACGTGAGATTCACTTAAAGTGATTCCGACTGGGGATACAGAGTATCCCAGGTACTCTATCTGAGTATACCCAAACTTGCACTTTGATAAATTTAGTTTTAAACCTCGTCTACTAATACGCTTCAATAATGTCATCAATAAAGTTTTATGCTCTTCGAGAGTTGCAGTGGCAATTAATATATCATCCATGTAGATGATAATTTTCCTTGCGTCCACTAAATCTCTAAATATGTCGTTTATGAAACGCTGAAAAACAGCCGGGGCATTTTTAAGTCCGAACGGCATTTTAAGATATTCATACTGTCCATTCGGTGTCACGAACGCAGTGTATGGAATGGACTCCGGTGACATACTAACTTGGTAGAACCCATTTTTTAGGTCTAAAACAGAAAAAATATTCTTACCCTCGAGATATTCTATACAATCCTCTATGAGTGGCAGAGGGTAGTTATCTCGTACGGTTATTTTATTCAGACCCCTATAATCAACACATAAGCGCTTCTGGCCACTCTTCTTCCTTACAAGTACTATTGCTGAAGCGTAAGGAGAATTACTCGCCCGTATAATCCCATCCCTTTCTAAATTTCTTACAATATCCTGGACTACAGTACGATCGGCAAATGATAAACGTCTAGGCGCACAATAAAACGGCATATCAGTTGTTAAGTGAATCTTCATTTCGTATTCTACTGGCTCTACCCTAAGATCTTTCGGATTTATATACGAATCGAACACTAATTTACTTAATTCGGCACGCTGATTACGATTTAGCGCAAAGTCTATATCCAACTCTTCGTTTTGGCTATCGATTTCAATATTGAATATGTCCGGCAATTCGACGGATACCCGCCCGCTGGGACCAACATTCCCACTCGTACCGATCATGTCCCCGGATTTAATGTTATTAGGTGGCGCATAAGCTTTTAAGAGGCTAAACTTGTTTAAGATTTCGACCAGGTCATTCGACAAGGGAGTGCAAAGAGTGTTCTTATATATCAATAAATTGTCTCTCGTATATTTACGTTTTATTTTAGCTAAGCGTATGTTAAACTGCTTCAAAAAATCTCGTCCAAAAATAACAGGTACTAACATTTCATTTTCTGGCAATATATTTATTTTGATATTTTTTACTTCATTTTTAAATTTCACAGAACAAAGGACTTGACCCAATATTTTTAGTTTTAATCCACCAATGCTGCGGTAAGTATGTTGTGGCTCTCGTAAAATTTGGCAATTATTTGGCACACACGATTGCTTCATAAAGCTAGTTGGACTACCGGTATCAAAGAGGGAAATGAATTTATTAAATTTCGCACTCTCTTTTCGATTGGTCTCAAAAGCAATACTTACAAAATTGAACGATTCCAGCTCGGTGAGGTCGTTTTCGTAAACGGCAGCAACTGGTTGGTCGGAAATCGGCTTCAAAATTTTCCGTGGATTGGTGCATGAATGATGGTCGTGACCCATCTTCCAGCACCGGAAGCAGGACCCATTCGGACGCATCGGATACGGGCAGTTTGGCTTTATGTGGCCCCTCTTGGAGCAGTTAAAGCATAGTGGCTGGCTGTTTCCTCCAGACTCGGCAGTAAGCTTATCAGAGGCTGACGGCTTGACGGGAACGGCAGGTTGCTTTGCGGCAGCGGCAGGCATCATACGTCGAACAGTACCAAAATTTGGCTTGAGGTATTTGGAATAGTAGCGATTCACTAGCCTCTTCAGCTCGTCCAGTGATTGTGCTGGCATAAGTAAATTTATATTGTTTATTTTATTCCCGATCCCATCAAAGATCAAGTCGATGACGTCAGTTTCCTGGACACATCCACGTTTCGCCAGAGCCTGCATAGTCAATATGTAACAGTGCAGTGATTCTTCTTGGGGCTTCCACTTCCTTTCGCTCAACATTCTGTAGACGTCGTGGCGAGTAACTGCACTGTCGAACTCATCTATAACTGCCTTCCTCAAATCATGATAGTTGAGTGCAGATGTCGTCGTTAAAACACTCTCGCTGTTCCATGTAGTGAGCGACGTAAGCTTAACAATTTAAATTGATCGTCCGCATTAACCGTACGCATTATTTCCTCGAAATCGTGGAAGAAGTGTTGAACTGATTGTGCGGTACTATCACCACTAAATTTTGGAACTGCGTGCTCAATGTCTGCGAATGAAGCTCTGCAAGCACTTGGTTGGGCAATCGTAGTTTTCAGCTCATTTATTTGACGTTGCAGCTCCAATATTTCGCGCTTCTTCCTTAATTCCGTAATCTGCTGGTCCAAATTATCAGCGGTGTAGTCGTCACCGGCATTCGTAGGGCTGGATGCCGTGTTGTCAGCGCCAGCGGAAGTTTTGTCGCTGGTGTAGCTATTGGAGACGGCAAGGTTTACGGAGGCAGCATTTTCGGCATTGGCGGTAATATCGGCATTGGCAGTAATATCGTCAGCGGCGGGGGTTATAGTGACGGCAGCATTGGTAACGGCAGCATTTTTAGCGCCGGCGGCAAGGCTATAGGCGGCACGACGTTCACGAACGGTATTTTCAGCAACGTTATTTAGGTTAGCGGCAGGGGCGCTAGCGCCGGCGTCACGGCATTCGCCAACGGTATTTTCGGTAACCGTATTTTGAGCATCTCGTACCTGATCATACCGCGTGGCGTCGATTATGACGGCACCGTTGTCTGGAGCTGCTCCCTCATCCAAGTCGGATATGTTGTCGTCGTCCACCTCATTGAGCGCCTCATTTGTGCAGTGTGCGGCGTATAAACGCTTTAATTGCGCCACCGTAGCCGTCGCGGGAAAACCAACACTAGCCGCCATTAGAGCGTCGACTAGAAATTGCTTTGTTAGCCTTTGTGGCATATTCGATTTTATTACTTTTATTTCACTTTATTTAACTAAATGGGCACTTGCACCCACACCTGAAGCTTTAATCGCAAAAGGTTTTATTTTTTTTATTTTAGGATTGTAAAAGACACAATTTAGACGGCGTGCTTCTGTCTCGAATGTTCGCAGAGTAATAAGTTTTACAGAGAACGTATATTTATAGAGAAGGACCAAGAACGGATCAGCGTGGAAACTGTCAAATACCAACAAAACTGGCGAAGCGCATTTTAAGAGCGGCAAGCCAGAGACAATCGAATTTTAACAGAGCCCAGCCAGAGGCAAAATAAATTTAACAGAAATTGTCTCATCAAAGCAAATGGATATTTTTCTTGTTAGAAATGAAATGCTGATGGCTTTTTACGTTTTTACTTCGCTTTTATTGTTCTTTAAATTGGTTAATTATTTAAAATAAATGCATGCATAGGTCGAAATATGTAATATGTACATATTGTGTTCATGCATATGTATGTGAGAAATACAATTTTGTGAATCTAAAATGTGAAAGTTATGCAAATATGTAGTATGCAATTGGCAAATTCG